TCGCCATGGGTACTTCCTCGCTCCCGGGTTTCTCCATCTAGTTGCTGGCTTGCTGCTGCTCCCTCCTGCTCCGTGCTCAGATCTGACCAAAGGGGTTTTGCTGACTTTTTTTTGATTTTTTTTCTGGATGGATTTCTGATGCAGGCAAGATCAAGATCGGAATCAACGGTGGGTTTGTACCCCCAATCTAGTTCCTCCTGCTCGGTTTGTTGGGTTTGGAGTCATCTGACTGGTTGTCCCTGCGTCTGCGTGTGTGATTACGCTCAGGTTTCGGAAGGATCGGCAGGCTCGTGGCCAGGGTCGCGCTCCAGAGCGAGGATGTCGAGCTGGTCGCCGTCAACGACCCCTTCATCACCACGGACTACATGGTATGCTCCTCGATCTGTTGCGTTTGTTCCGTGCCACGAGTAGATCTGGTGGTTTACAAGGTTTTAGGGTGGGTTTAGCACCGATCCGTCAGCAAGCATGCTCGGTTCAGTTAATCGTGGCGTTCGGAGTCGTTTGACTTCAATTCTTTACTGGTTCTCTCCGTAGATCTGGGGGTTCTATTGGTTCTGTTGCTCTATTACAGTATCAGCCTGAGGTGTTGTAGATTTGGTGCTTACTTCAGTTTCTGAATTTTGAAAATCTGTGTGCTGCGCTCATGGTTTATGTGCTCCCCATCTTGCGTAGACCTACATGTTCAAGTATGACACAGTGCACGGCCACTGGAAGCACAGTGACATCACACTCAAGGACTCCAAGACCCTCCTCTTCGGTGAGAAGGCGGTCACCGTCTTTGGCATCAGGTACTCCCCTCTCCTGCTTCTTTCATGGATGGGTTGAGTTTGTGTTGAAGCTGTGAGCTAATGTTTGAACTGCGGCGATTCTACAGGAACCCTGAGGAGATCCCGTGGGGTGAGGCTGGTGCTGACTATGTCGTTGAGTCCACTGGTGTCTTCACTGACAAGGACAAGGCTGCGGCTCACTTGAAGGTATAATTGCTGCTTCATGATCCTATGGCTGTTTCAGAATGTTTGCAGGTTGTTTGCATACCATTTTATTCCCAATTCCTGACTATATGCATTTGTGTGATCATTTACATGCGGTGGACAAATTGAGTGATGGCTACCTAGTATTTGGGCTTAGCAAATCGTGTCCTAATTTTCACTAGAAAACTTTCTTATTAGTACTGCTTGCATACTCACAACCTGCAGCCAGGCAGAGCTGCTATTACTAGTACTACTACACTACCTTCTTTAGTATTCAACTGGTCGTATGCTTCTGTAAGCTGTAACGTCCTGAGGTTTTGGTATTGCATAGTGGTTGTCTAATGTTAGTTTTGTTGTTATAAGAAGAGTTACTGGAGTCTTTATAGAGATCTAGAAATTATCAGACAGGATGATTTAGTGTCGTGACTAGGATCTAATACACCCATGTACTTTTTATACTATGCTGCCTTACTTGTCAGATCGCCTTGAGCCTTGTAAATTCCCCTGTTAATTTGGATGTTTCTGATAGCTGTATTTTCCTTTTTTTTGAATTATTATATAGGGTGGTGCTAAGAAGGTTGTTATCTCTGCCCCAAGCAAAGATGCACCCATGTTCGTTGTTGGTGTCAATGAGAACAAGTACACCTCGGATATTAACATTGTTTCCAATGCTAGCTGCACAACAAACTGCCTTGCTCCCCTTGCCAAGGTGTGTTTCCTCCCCTCTTATTTGGGTGTTCTTTTTAGTTGTCTGCTCTTCTGATGTAGTTTGATTTACTAATGGTGTCTAATGTCATTAATTAGGTCATCCATGACAACTTTGGTATCATCGAGGGTCTGATGACAACTGTTCATGCCATCACTGGTAAGTTTTCTTTAGCTGTCGAGCTATCTCCCCTCCTAGGATTATTGACAAGATACATTTAGTTGGCTGTATAATGACAGTGTAGTACTTATCTGTCAGCCACCCAGAAGACTGTTGATGGACCCTCAGCCAAGGACTGGAGAGGTGGCAGGGCTGCTAGCTTTAACATCATCCCCAGCAGCACTGGTGCTGCCAAGGTATATAATAAATTCAGTAATTCACAATGTTGGACGGAGTGAGCTAATGTTTGTTCTTTTTGTAAGTGTTGGTCATTTATTCAGACCGACTTGGCCAGCTGATTGTACTAAATTATTGTTACGCTGTGTTTTGGTTTCATGTAGCTTCATGAATAAATTTTTAATGCCAATGTATGTGCATTTCATGTAGCTTCTTGTTGCTACATGAGTTATTATATAGCTAATTTGCATATCCATATGAGCATAGACATGAAGGGCGGACCTGGTGCAAGCGGTAGAGTCTTACCGCCTATGACCGGAAGCTCCCGGGTTCGAGTCGCGGTCTCCTCGCATTGCACAGGCGAGGGTAAGGCTTGCCACTAACACTCTTCCCCAGACCCCGCACAGAGCGGGAGCTCTCTGCACTGGGTACGCCCTTTATATGAGCATAGACATAGCTAAATGAGCATTAAGCATTAAAAGGCCTGGTTGATTGCCATCCTAGTTCTAACTTAACCTATACTTCCTCTTTAGTTTGGGTCGTTGTTCACCTCATTTTTCTTTTTAGTGTAAAGTCGATATCCATTCTATTCTGATGATTATAGATGGAATGCTGTATATTGACTTTCAATATTGATGAATTGCAGGCTGTCGGTAAGGTTCTTCCTGATTTGAATGGCAAGCTCACTGGTATGTCCTTCCGGGTTCCCACCGTGGATGTGTCAGTTGTTGACCTCACTGTCAGAATCGAGAAGGGTGCCCCCTATGAGGATATCAAGAAAGCTATTAAGTAAGTGATAAGTCCATTTATATTTTAATATTCAGTCAATGTGAGTGTATTGTTATTTTTAAACCAATGCCTATGAATGTAATAACACTCCTTGTTGGATTTATCTCTACTATCACATTTGATGTTCACTTTTTATGTTTCCTGCATCTTTCTTGATCTTAGAGTAGTTTATCCATCTATTTTGGTAAGGATTGATGACAACATTTACTTAATTGCTATTGCTTTACAGGGCTGCTTCTGAGGGCCCACTCAAGGGTATCATTGGCTATGTGGAGGAGGATTTGGTTTCCACCGACTTTGTTGGTGACAGCAGGTATGCCTTTGCTTCTTATCATTTAGGAGCCAACATAACTGATTATTAGGCACACTGTTATGTCGAATTCTGATGGTGTTCTCTGATTCATCTGTCGTTTGTGTAATCTCCGTATTCATTTGTCATTTTGCTGCTTCCACTTAGGTCGAGCATCTTCGATGCCAAGGCTGGTATCGCCCTGAACGATAACTTCATCAAGCTTGTCTCGTGGTACGACAACGAGTGGGGCTACAGCAACCGTGTCGTCGACCTGATCCGCCACATGTTCAAGACCCAGTAGAGATTTTTCTGCTTTCCATCGCATCCCAATGGCCTTGGTCGCTGTCCATCCCGCTGCTTGTCTATGCTGAGAATAAATGTGAATGGTGCCTCTGGACGCCCGGTTCATGCTGAGTTTGGACATGTTTTGTGTTTCCATTTCTGCTAGCATCCTGTAACGAATTCGCTAATATGGGACCTGAGTTTAGTTTTTGCTTGTGAAGAATATAAACAATGGGGTTGCAATTTTGTTATGCTTAGCTGGTTTGGTTGCATAGATGAGCTGGTCTTTGGGAATAATAGTTTTTGATTCGTCATGTTTCTGTGTTCTTAAATCCTTTGTGTGTTCAATGTTATTTGCAGTGTATTCTCATTTATGTTATCAATTGGTCTTTTTTTTTGTACTTTTGGTGGTTCCTTTTGTGTGGTAAGCGAGATGTGAAATGGTGGCCAACGAAGCAGGGCACACTATGGTCTTATGCTGGTGTTGGAACTTGGAAGAATGAGATTACGACAATTTTTTCTGCGTTTAGCTTGTTCGCTTGTTGGTTTTAGCTAGAGTTTATCAGCCAGTCAGCAGTGTTTTAATCAGACTACTGATATAAGACGATAATATGACAATGATAAAGCACCAATTTTAATCAGACTGAAGGAAGGCTTGGCAATCATCATTCTTACATCATGCATGACCCTGCGGTCCCAAGCCTTTACAAACTTCATCAACTTTAAAGCAAAAAAACAATTATATTTGCAACTTTTGGTCGGTAAAGAAAACTGTAACCCATTTGAAAGAAAAAATACTGTAGAGGGCAAGAACAGAAACTCTGTTGTCTAGTAAAGTAAACATCACAAAAGCTCAACTATTTGGTCCTAACTATGCATAAACACTGGCTTTTGGTTGGGGTTTGTTTTAGCAACTGACCTACAGTAACACAAATTTACAACTTTACTTTATGAAAATAGTACTACCTCGGTCAAAAAGAGAATGGGGATTCTAGATCAATTCTAAGTTAAACTATTTAAATTTAACTAAGTTTACAAAAAAATAGTATCAACAACTATGATTCCAAATAGATATTCAAAGGAAATTTATAGCTTAATAAATGTAATGATACTTATTTGATATCATGAATATTATTAGTTAGTAGTTTCAAAAAATCATCAAAGTAAAGATGGTTTGGCTAAACACTCTAGCTAGAATTGTATTCTTTCTTCGAGGGGGAAAGCAGCTCATACTAAAAATAACTAACATCCCCGCATATTGCTTCACAAAAGCCAATTCGTGTAAGCTTTGTAGATCTTCCATTGAAGAATTGAACAGCGAATTGTTGTAATCAGAGGATTGTGCACAAATAACACCATAGATTGATGTGATACTAAAATTTATCAAACTTTCACGTTCGGCGAACTCGAGACCTTGAAAACATCATTTCCATCAACAAAAGCATGTCTGGGATGCGACATGTACTGCTCATTGAGTCATACTCCTAGCTGCTAGTAAGATAGAAAGAGGCACAAATAAAGATAGATAGACTGTAATCACCCCAGCTGGGTAGATTACATAGAAACCTCCACATCTGCCTTCTCTTCCTTGTTGTTGAGGAAGTTATCATCTTGGTGACTCAACTCACTCTCCGGCGAACATAGTATCATCCAGACCGAGCTCAGCGAACATCGCCGACCACGTTTCCTTGAAATGCTGCTCCAGTTCGAGCCTCTCGGCGATCATGTCGTCGTCCACCGCGACGAACCCCTTGTCCGCGTACTCCCTGCGCACCCTTCCCTGCACCTCGGATAAGGCGTCCTGGGCGTACTCGTGATCCGCGGCCTCGCGCTCGAGCTCCTCCTTGGTGGTGGAGCTGTCGGCGACCATGTCCTTGTACACAGCCGTGGACTAGAAGGGCTTCCGTGGCCGAGACAGGATGTAGTTGATCTCGGACTCGGATAGCCTCTTGTAGGCCACCACGTATTCCGTCCAACTCATCACCGTCGGACCGTCGTCGTCGTCGTCGCCGACGCCGTCAGAATCCTCCACATCGGCTACGGCCTCCGCGTCCTGCGCCACCGCACCAACATACGCCTCCGCGTCGTCGTCCTCCGTGGAAGAAGAGCTCGTCTCCTCTGCAACCTCAACCCCTGCCGCCGCAGCGTTCTCCTCCACGCTGTTACCACGACTCCACGAGCTACCGATCTCGTGTCGCGCGCGTGCGGGCGCGGATGTTAATTGGGACTTGGAAGTAGAGAATTGGAGCTAGAAGATACCGAACTGCTACGGCTTGTGAATCTTACTTACTTAAGGGGTGCTTGGGACTCCTCCGTTTCTGTTTTTTTACTTTGTTCCACTAACACTACTGTGAAGTAGCTCTACTATAGAGTTTATGGAATAGATAGTACTGTTTGACATACAGTCTAGCTCTAACTCCAGAAATAGGTTGTTTTTATGCAAATGGTGTATTATGCCCCTGATTGAAATTGCACTTAACGTGTATGCACTGTATGTTAGGCTGATTGTAATGTGTATTCGTACCAATTAGTTACGTGAGTTTGGAACAAAACAAGAAAAAGAAAGGAACAAACAGATCCGTCCTGGCTGCCATGGGCCTCCAGCCTATGGTGATGGATGCAGTTCATCCGATCGTCGCCGGCTGCAGATATTCCTTGAGCAAAGACATGGTGTGCAGCTCGATCAGGAGGGCGACAGAGATGGACTGGTCAGCAGCGAGCAATGGCGGCGCGATGTCCAGGTCGAGCGACTTGAAGCGGCGGGCCATGCGGCATGCGAACGGGAGGCATGCCGATGGAGGGAGAAAGCGAATGGATGCATTAATGAGCGGTAAGTGTGTGTAATTTTTTCACAACTCCACGAAGTGCAGAAGGTTAAATCCTGAAGTACCTCGAGGTGCTTCATACAAAATATGGAGTTAGCCTCTAACTTCACTTTTCTCTTGGAGCGGAGTTCTTAAAGCTGAAGGTGTTCGGCAACGCGGAGCTGGAGCGGAGCTAAAAAAACGAAAGCGAAGCAGTCCTAAACACCTCCTTAGGCCATCGCGCGCATTTCGCAAGCACGCCGCCCTCGCCCTCGTCCGTCCAAGAAGTAGACTACTCCTATATTGTTCTTCGTTGAGCGGAGGTTATTGTGCAAGAAGCAATCACGTACATATCCAATTTCCAAGCGGAAATGCTATGGTGGACGTCTGATCGTCCGGACCCTCCCATTCGCGGGCCGCAACATCTACCCAACAGCCCAATAGTCGTAGCCTCTCGTTCACTCGTCCCTAACCGTAACATGTTGTCTCCATTCTCCGGAACAAATCACCGCAGCTCGAGCAGTCGCAACGGACCATGGGTTGTCGTGCCGCCTCGTCATTCTCCACGATAGCCGGGGGCTCGACGGCCAGCATCTCCTCCGTGCCCGAGAACGACCGCCCGCCTTCCTCCCTCTCCATCGCGCCTCTGGCCCGCCGCGGCCTTCTCCGTCGAAGCAGCGATAGCTCGCGCCAGACCGCCACGGCCTTCTCCATCGGAGCAGCGATAGCTCGTGCTAGCACAAGATCAGAAGCGCCACCATCCACCTCGCCCGCGCGGAAGGGGATGCATGTGCTTGTGCCTGCGGAGGCTTGCGCCTGCAACTGCGCTTATGGCCCCATACATCTCGCGCCGTCAGTGGGAAGGGGAGGCCTGCTTCACCGCAGTTCCGCAATAGCTAGGCCATGGCAATCGGCAACGCTGTGTTTCAAGTGTTTCAGGGCGTTTCAAACATGTGCAAGTCTATGTTTTAAATGTTTCAGTTATGTCAGATGTATGTTTCAAGTGTTTCGTACGGATGTTGCAAAAGTAGATCGGGATGTTGCATATGTTGCAGTGGTTGTACAGGTATATTGCAAGCATCTGTTCCCAATATTTTATATGTTTTTAGATGTATGTTGTAAGGGTGTTTATCTGGATGTTGCATATGTTTCACATATATGTTTCAAGTGTTTTATCTGGATGTTGCATAATGTTTGCGATAGTTTTCAAGTGTTTTTCAGGTGTTTTTGCAAGTGTTTGAGACATGTTTCAAGTGTTTCATCTGTCTTCTTTTGTATGTTGCAAGTGTTGTATCTAGATGTTTTAAAAGTAGATCGGGGGTATTACACATGGGATGTGCGTGGGAAGCGGAAGGTTGCGCGAGCAGTCCCCCACGTGTGGTCTGGCGGCGCGGGCGAAGTCCAGGCGACAGGGCATGCTGCTGGGTGCTCGCTCGCAAGTCTGACGTTGATGAGGCGCTTGCTCCATTACTGCATGGACACCGTCCCTCGGATTAGACATCTGGGCACCGGCAAGTTCTCATGAAAAAAAATCACGTACAGATCCAATTTTCAAGATCAGTACGTGGACACGTGTCAATTCGAATTGCTCATTTTCGATATACCCCGTCGTGAATCGGATGGACACGTGTATCCTCCTCCCATGTCCTCGCTCGACGAACGCACGGCCACTGGCCACAGCACAGCCCACAGCAGGATAGGGACAGGGGAGGCCGCGAATCTTGTCTTGGGCCATGGGCCGCGTCCCGCTGCGCCGCGTTTCCGCGTTCCGTCCCGCCCGGCGCCCGGATTGTGGTCCGGACTCCGGAGGCATTAGGCAAGACGACGGCGGTCAGCAGGCGCGCCTCGTTTGCTGGGAAATGGGATCGGAAACGTGAACCGCGTGGCCCGCGCCCGGCTGGTCCTGGTCGTCTGGATGCCACCGCCCACCGCGACGCGATCCAAACCCGATCTCTATCCAGCGAATCCATCGGCCGGCGTTTGCGTTTGCGTTTGCGTGCGTGCGCGTCTGGTGGGGTGGTGTAGGCTGGTGGTTGTGATTGCCTGCAACTGCCAGATTGGAACGGTCGCGTCGGGTCGGCTTCCCAGCGTGGACCAGGCTGGGGACTCCAGCGCCGCCGCGGCGGGCCGGTTGGGACTTGGGGTGGGTTGGTCCGTTGGTGTACTGTTACATTTCGTGTGTGCGCCCAGAGCAAAGCCGAGGCCCAGACCAAAACCCAGAGATATTTGAATGTTTCGTTTGCATGAACTCCCTTTTCTTCTGCTTCTTTGCATCTGGTTGTAAATTACAAATATATTTTATAAATAAAAAAACAAAAGGTAGTAGATTATCCATGTCGCAAGTGCTTGGTACCGAATTCTCTACCTAGCCGTGACCATGATTCATTGACTCTACAAGTACACGGTTACTTGGCCTCAGAACTGAAGAAATTACACGTGATCCCGTGTACCTACTGCCTACTGGTTCCATTCCATACTATGGCCCTGTTCGCTTAAATTTATCGGTCGTATCTTTTCAAAGAAATAATAATGATATTTTCTCTCACAATAAATCAAAGATCACCGTTTTTTTTCATTTGCCTATGAATGAAAAACCCAAGACCATTCTCAATGGGCTTTGAAAATGGCTAGCAAAAGTCCCCCCCAACCCCCCCCCCCCCCACACACACACACACACACACACACACACACCGGGCAAAGGGGATTAGGGAATCCATTTTCCAAATTTATTTTTCCAAGTCCAAGTCCAAATCCAAAATTATATCCAGAGAGAAAAGAAAACCGTCTCCCTTTTATTCCTCTTTTACCCTTGCTTCGCGTCTTCTTCCTCCCCAAGGCTTCGGCCCTCGCCTACACGCCTCCGCATATATAGGCACCGTCGCCCTCTCGCCGTCCCCCCTCGCCTTTCCCAAATTAGCGCCACCGCCACCTCCTCCAATCTCGCCGGGAACGAAGCCGAGCCGCCCGAATCGCCCTCCGTCCACCCACCCGACCTTATAGCCCGGCCCCGGACCGCCCCCCACCGGCTCGCGCCCCCGACCCCTCCGCCGCCGCCTCCCGGTCCAACGCCGCGTCGCGTGGGGGGAGGAGGAGGAGGAGGAGATGGCCGCCGCCGCCGTCGCCTGCAGGCGCGCGCTGCTCCTGCACGGGCACCAGCAGTGGCCGCAGCGGTGTGCGGCGGCCGCGCCCTGCCCCCGCACCATCTCGCAGCTCGTCAAGACCAACGGCCGCCGCGCCTTCCTCGTCGACACCCTCGCCCTGGTAAGCCTAGCCTCCGGGGTCTCCTATCTTACTCCCGTTCCGTTTCGTCTTCCGCCAATGCCCGAGAGGTGTTCGGCGGAATGCTCCGGCGAGTTGCTGATGCGGGTGCGCCTGCTCGCCGGGATGATCGTGTCGCTCGCAGGTCAGGAAGCTGGAGTCGCAGGGCGTGCCCACCAAGCAGGCGGAGGCGATCACCTCGGCGATCACGGAGGTCCTCAACGACAGCCTCGAGAGCATCTCCGAGTCCTTCGTCTCCAAGGCCGAGATGCAGAAGGTAAAACGCTTTGACATTGCGCGGCGGATTTCTTCTTGGTTGGTTAATTTTCTTCCTCATTTGCTGGTCTTGCTTGGCTTTTTGCAGAGTGAGATGCTGCAGGAGTCCAATATCTCCAAGTTCAAGTCGCAAGTGCAGAGCTCGCAGGTATTGTTCGAAGCTAAAATGTTAGACCATGAGAAGTAGCTGTCGCTGGATTTTCATTGAACTAAATTTGGGACCTTGTACATGTTCGACATAAACTGTTGCTGGCTTAAAATTGAAATTGGTTGCATAGCTCTTATTCTGTGTTTTTTAGGCCTTTTGGGGTGAAGGCACTTAGCATTGCTTCCTCTCTGGTTTGTTTTAGATTGTTCATTTGAGCAGTACTGGGATGATTGAATGAATGTTTGTACAAGCTGATTTAGAGCCACTGCTCATTAACATGATGGGGCTATTAGTTTGTGGAACAGATGTGTGCGAATGGTCAATGGAGATTATGGGTTGAGATCACCCATTTGAAACAACCATTTATCTGTGCCTTTTTGGGTA